AAAACTGGAAGTGGCGCTGTGGCTCAAGTGGCAGAGCACTAGCCTTGAGCTGAAGAGCTGAGGGACAGTGCCCAAGCTCAAAGTTCAAGCCCCACGACTGACTCCCCCCCAAAAAAAGAGAAAAAAAAACAGTTTGAGAAGACTCTTACAAAGTGCATACTTTGCCTTCACCTCTTCATGTGAGTTGTTTGAAAACAGAATTTGCAGGCTCACTTTATTTCTTTTTTGCTTCCTTCCATTTCTTCTCTCTCTTGTGTTCAAGTAATCCTCTTGACTGAGTGGCTAGGACTATAAGCACATGCCACCATGCCCATATCTTAATGAATCTTATGTCCTTCGTATACAACATAACCTTGTCCTGTTGCTCACACACAGAAAGGCTTACTTTGTTATTTTTCTGTTGGTTGTGGGGCTTGAACTTAGGGCCAGGGTGCTATCCATGAGCTCTTTGCTCAAGGCTAGCACTCTACCATTTTAAGCCATAGCACCATTTCCAGTGTTCTGGTGGTTAATTGAGGATAACTTTCACAGCCTTTCGTTCCTGGGCTGGCTTTGAACCACAATCCTCAGATCTCAGACTCCTGATTAGAAACGCTTACTTTAAAAGACAATACGGGGGCTGGGAAGGTGGCTCAGTGGCAGAGTGCTTGCCTTGCATGCCTAAGGCCCTGGGTTCAATTCCTCAGCACCACATAAGCAAAAAAAGAAAAAAGCCGGAAGTGGCACTGTGGCTCAAGTGGTAGAGCACTAGCCTTGAGCTGAAGAGCTGAGGGACAGCACTCAGGCCCAGAGTTCAGGCCCCATGACCGGACCCCGCCCCCCCAAAAAAAAGCCCAAGGACAGTACCCAGGCCCTGAGTTCAAGTCCCAGGACTAGAAAAAAAATACTAAAAGACAATACGGGCTGGGAATGTAGCTTAGTGGTAGAGCACTAACATGCATGAAGCCTGTGGTTTGATTCCTTAGTACCACATAAACAAAAAAGGTCAGAAGTAGCTCAAATGGTAGAGTGCTAGTCTTGAGCAAAAGTGTCTAGACCCTAGGTTCAAGCCCCAGGACTGGCAAAAAAAAAAAAAGACAATACAAATAAAAAGCCTAAGCTGTCAGGCTCAAAGATTTCATCATTGTTAGCAGTATTCCTCATAGCTGTACTATCATCTAAGTTTTCATAGCCTAATATTAGATTCCTGTCCTATTCAGATCACTGTGCCAGGCTTTTCAGTGAATTTCAGGCAGCTCTTTGAACTGAATGCCTAAATGAGAAATATAAATGCACTATCTTTCATCATTTTCATATAGATAACACAGTGACAATCACCAATAGCAACAATATTTGTTTGCACAATATTATATAGTGATCTTTGATACATATTACTTAATTCTCACAAAAGTAATTACTGCTGTATTATTTTCACCGTTTTACAGATGATAAAAATTATGGCATAACTGCACAGATGTATTATAATTAACCAGTTTGGTACTGGTAATTAATTTGGCTGAATTACAGGCATTGTTTTTATAGGGTTGCTTTTGTTGTCCATATGGTTTTTGTACTACAAGTTCTTATAATTTTGTTTTGTGTATTTATGAACATGTGCCTATAAAATACACTTAGAAGTGGTAGTCTTTTTTTTTTTTTGGGGGGGTCCAGTCATGGGGCCTGAACTCTGGGCCTCTGCGCTGTCCCTCAGCTCTTCAGCTCAAGGCTAGTGCTCTACCACTTGAGCCACAGTGCCATTTCTGGCTTTTTTCTTTTTGCTTATGTGGTGCTGAGGAATCGAACCCAGGGCCTCAGGCATGCAAGGCAAGCGCTCTACCACTGAGCCATCTTCCCAGCCCCCAGAAGTGGTAGTCTTTTTAAATTTTAGTTAATTCCTTAATTTTTTTAAAAAAATAACACAGCATCTAATTAACAGAGCATCAAACTTGCTCTGAGGTCTCAAATTTTGAGGCTGAGGCCTCAAATTTGACATTCTTCTGCCTCAGCTTTCCCAGCTCAAGGGCTGGTAGTATACTCAGTAGTAGAGCCTTTGCCAGTCATGAGTAAGGCCTTAGATTGGATCCTCAGCCCAGAAAACAGTAATAACAATGACACAACAACAAAAAAAAGGCTCAGTTTAACACCTGAGGTCTCACAAGAAAGGACTAAGATTCAGTTCTATAGAGTCTCATATTTCATTCTACATTCATGGTTACATAATTTTGTTTTGTATTTTTTTGGAAGTAGTGGAGTTCGAACTCAGGGCCTCTAATTTACTACATTACTGGGCCATACCTCTCTCGACCTCTATTACAAAATTTTTCAATGGCTACAAATATAAGATTAACACCTGCAAACTTACCAAGAAGCCAACTATCTTTGTGCATCCCAGCTTCAAATTGACTACTCAGAGAAGATTGTTGCAGCACAGCATAGTCCTGGAGGCTGCCTGGCCAGTTTGTCTCCACAGTCATTAGTGCTCCTCTGATGTCACACACCAGCAGGCAGTTCAAAGAATGCAGACCTTTGCGGTTCACATAGGACAGATCTTCAGAATTTGGTGCCTTGATTGCCACATGGATACAGTCGACCACCCCTATCACCCCTGGCATCCCTGCCAATCCATAGAATTCATCCTTCAGAGCCTGAATGGAAGCTTCATCAGCTGGAAAGTGAATGAACTGTGAGGCCCTTTCCACAAGTGCTTCTGTGACATTGGCAACACAACGACTCATAGAGGCTTGACTGATTCCAATAGCATCTCCCATCCGAGTCTGGAAGGAACCTGTAGTATAAAAGCCCAATGCTGCAAGGATCTGTGTCTCTGGGCTAATAGCCCTGGATCGTTGAGTAGGTCGAGAAAGACTTGCTCCCAGGAGCTCCACCAAGTAATAAATGAACTGCCGTGGAAACCCATACATGGACATCAAGTATTCATCACTCACATCATCTAGCTTAAAACGGTCCAAGGTCCGGTGACCTCGACCATACAGCAAGAGATCACAGTCTAGCACTGTGATTGGTATAGCCATAGTAAATGTGAATGTGGTCTCTTTATGTGGTACTTTTTGTGAGCTCTTCCCAGTGAAGACGTTGGTGCAAGAAAAGTATTTAAGGAAGTGTCTGAATTCAACAACAAACCATCAGTTAAATGGCTCTGGCATTTATAATCTTCTCTCTGTAAAGGTTTAAAAAAAAATTAGAAACCAACCAAAGACATTAAACTGTCTTACAGGCTACAACAGTACCTTTTGAGCAAATCTTTTTTGCTCAGTTAAAATATTTTGTACCAGGGGTGGAAAGGCGGCTCAGTGGTAGAGTGTTTGCCTTGCATGCATGAGGCCCTGGGTTCGATTCCTCAGCACCATATAAGCAAAAAGAAAAAAAGCTAGAAGTGGCGCTGTGACTCAAGTGGTAGCCTTGAGCTGAAGAGATGAGGGACCGCACCCAGGACCAGAGTTCAGGCCCCACAACCGGACCCCCCCCCCAAAAAAAAAAAAGAAAGCTGCAGGACAAAGTTGATTGACTTTAAAAGATGTGTATGGGGGAAGGGGTGATGATCAAAATGCACTGTGGTAGGGATCACACCTATAATCCTACCTACTTAGGAGTCTGAGATCTATCACTTGAGCCTCAGCTCTACTTCTGGCTTTTTCCTGGTTAACTGGAGTCTCAGGGTAGCAGGTGACTGTGACTCATGCCTGTAATCCTAGTTATTCAGGAGGTTGAGAGCTGAGGATCGCAGTTAAAAGCCAGCGAGGGCAGGAAAGTCCATGAGACTCTCATCTCCAATTAACCACCAGGAAACCGGAAGTGGCGCTGTGGCTCACACGGTAGAGTGCTTGCCTTGAGCTGAAGGGCTGAAGGACAGCATCCAGGCCCAGAGTTCAAACCCATTACAGACCAAAAAAAAAAAAAAAATGCTGGTCACTGGTAGGTAACTCACGTCTGTAGCCCAAGCTATTCAGGAGGCTGACACATGAGGATCACGGTTTGAAGCCAGACCAGGCAATAAAGTCTGTGAGACTTTCATCTCCAGTTAAGCACCCCCCCACATCCCCCCCAAAAAAAGCCGGAAGTGGAGCTGTGGCTCAAGTGAGAGAGCCCAGGCCCTCAGATCAAGCCCCAGAACCAACACCAACAAAGACAAAAGTCAAGGCATGGCCCAGCCTGGGGACGCTTGCCCCTCACCCCAAGAAATCCTAGTTCAAAGTAAGGAAGACCAGCACGTAAACGGAAGGGCTGAGAGCCACGTCTGGGAAGCGCCGCTTTCCCTCTTAAACCTAGACACCGAGGTGTGACCGCGCCGGCCACGCAAAGTCTGCGGAGGCTGGTCGGTCACCCACTTCTCCGCGGCTGCCAAGTTACCAACCCGCCCTCCACCCACCTTCCCTACCCCGACCGGCCCTCCTCCGGAACCGGCTGCAGCACCGGGCCGCCACGACGCGCAACAGCAGCTCCGCCCCCGCCGCGTCGGCGCCCGCCCCACGCCGCGTCCTCACCATCCGCGGCCGCCGCAGCCCGCGCTTCGGCCGCCGCACATTCGACACGCAGCCCCACCGCTCTCGCTCTCTCAGAAGCCTGTCCTTGCGCCTTTCTTTCTCCCTGAAAGGCTTGGGGAAAAATTACAACAAAGTCATAACTGGAGGAGGAATCGGCTTGTGTCTGGATTGTTGAGAAGTGAAAGGGATAAATACAGACTCCACGTGTGGCGAAAGTGCAGCTGGGTTTAAGCAGTTGGATTTTCCTCATAGCTCTCGAACCTCCCCCTCCCCCCCCCCGCCCGCCCCATCCTACCGCCTGCACCGAAGCGGATGAAAACAAACACTAACGATGGCGGCGCCGGGGAGCGACCGGCTGCTGGGTTGAGGCAGGAACGAGCGCTTGGCGGGAGAGGGGAGCCCTGAGGAAAACCAGTCGACCTGATTACGGCAGCCTGCTCATTCCTGAGGGCAAAAAGGTCTGGCCTACGAAGTCGGGACCCAACTTAAGGTGTTAGGAATCCGCCTGCGACCTGTGCTGTCACTCCCTGCCCGAAAGAACCGAACCTTCAGCCAGGAGGTGCGGCTGGCCGGCCCCGGGCCCCGGCCTCCGTAATGAGAGCCTCGGGACACACTCTGGGCAGCTGCTTTTCAGGTACTAACTTGGGAGGCGGGGATACCCCTGGACCTCTCAGCGCCCCCGGGTGGGAGGCTATGGACCTGCGGCCCCTGGGCCGCCTCGGTCGGGAAACAGCCCCAGCCGGCCTGCCCGTGTGCAGCCCCCCGAGCCCCCCTCTTCAGTTTGCTTTGCGGGGTTGGGTTGGTCTAGGCCCCATTGGCTCTTCATTTCTCCCAGTCGTTATAGAGATCCCTCACAGAGGTTTTCTCTGTTATCTCCGTTCTTTAGGTTAAGTCGTAAAGTTTTATTGGAAGTCATTTTCGGGCCGAAACTCTGGGGTTGGGTAACAAACAATATGAGTGAAATAGGTTTTCATCCAATCAAGATTTGTTGAGTGCCACATATGTACTCCGCGTGTAGGTGAGGGTGACTGTTGACTAGTGAAAAAAAGGGACTCAAGGTTCACGACTCTCTTCTTACTGGCAGTGGAACGACCTGTGGAAACCTGCGATCTGTTCTCATTAAATAAATCTCTGGGTAAGTGGCTAAGCACCTTCTTGGGCTCATAATTAATACACATCTCAGTTTTCACTTTCCCAGTAATTCAGCTCCTATTTTAGTGGGGTTAATTCAGCATAGCATTTCACTGAAAGTGTATTTGGTTGGTTGGTTGGTGGGTTTTTGAACACTGTGGTCTGGGACTCATAGCTATGTTGCCCAGGCTAACCTAAACTCCTGGTCTCCAGTGATACGCATACATCAGCTCCCGGAGTTATCTGAGACTGCAGGATTAACTTCCATACCTACCTTGGGAATATACAATATACATATGTGTATACATATATATATATGTATGTGTATATATATATATATATATATATACACACACACATATAGCATCGCGGGGATTGAACCCATGAACTTGCATATGATAGGTGAGCTCTTTATTTCTGAGCTATAGCCCACAAACAACACTATTTTAATACAACAACTGGTTATTCATGAGTGCTGAAGTAGCCATCACATATACTAATCTACTAAAATAGATGCAGTTAGTGCACTGTTTTCAGGTTGTAAACCTATTGGAACTTTTTTTTTTTGGTCGTTCATGGGGCTTGAACTTTGGGCTTGGGCACTGTCCTTGTGCTCTTCAGCTCAAGGCAAGCACTCTACTGCTTGAACCACAGCAATTTTCTAGTGGTTTATTGGAGATAAGAGTCTCACGGACTTTTCTGCCTGGGCTGGCTTTGAACTGTGATCCTCAGATCTCAGCCTCCTAAGTAACTACTAGGATTACAGGTGTGAACCACCAGCACCCGGCCTATGGGAACTCTTGAGATTTGAATTTCATAAATCACTGTTGACCATTGTGTGCTTAACATCATGTATCATCATATAAGCTTTTTTTTTTTTTTGGGTCTGTCGTGGGGCCTGAACTCTGGGCCTGGGCGCTATCCCTCAGCTCTTCAGCTCAAGGCTAGCACTTTACCACTTGAGCCACAGCTCCACTTCCGGCTTTTTTTCTTTTTGCTTATGTGGTGCTGAGGAATCCAAACCAGGGCCTCAGGCATGCAAGGCAAGTGCTCTACCACTGAGCTACCTTCCCAGCCCCATATAAGCTTTTTTTGTGTGTGTTTCAGTCATTTCTGGGGCTTGAACTCTAGGCCTGGGTGCTGTCCCTAAGCTCTTCAGCTCAAGGCTAGTGCTCTACCACTTGAGCCACAGGGCCACTTCTGGCTTTTTCTGTTTATGTGGTGCTGAGGAATGGAACCCAGGGCCTCATGTATTCGAGGCAAGCACTCTTCCCCTGAGCCACCTTCCTAGCCCCTCATAATAAGCTTTTGAGGATTATTTTGTTTGTTTAAATAAGTTGTTACTTTGTAGTGCAAGCTGACCTAGAAATAGAGATCCTTTTTTATTTGCTTCTGTACCATGTCAGTTCTAAGGAGTGTATGTAATTAAATTAATTTATTTGTATTGTAAAGGTTATATAAAGAGGGGTTACATAAGTCAGAAATCAGATTGAGTACATTTCCTTTTTTTTTTTGCCAGTCCAGGGGCTTGAACTCAGGGCCGGGACACTGTCATTGGGCTTCTTTTGCTCAAGGCTAGCACTCTACCACTTGAGCCACAGTGTCACTTCTGGCTTTTTCTGTTTATGTGTTAATGAGGAATGGAACCGAGGGCTTCATGCATGCTAGGCAAGCACTCTACCGCTAAGCCACATTGCCAGCCAGTATATTTCCTTTGAACAGTGTCACCCCCCTTTCTCCCACAGTACTGAGTCTTGAACTCAGTGGTCTGGTGCTGTCCCTCAGCTTTTTCAAGCATGGCTGGCACTCTTACTTGAGCCACACTTCTATGGATGTTTTTTTGCTAGTTGATTGGAGATATCTCTTGGATTTGGTTGCCTCACTGGTTTGTACCGATCTCCGCTGACTCCAGACTAGAAAGGATCACTGGTACTTAACTAAGGAGTTTTTGTTTGTTTGTTTGTTTGTTTACTTATTTTTTGTGATGGTCCTGGGGCTTAACCTTGGAGCCTGGGGCTGTCCCTGAGCTTCTTTTGCTCAAGGCTAGCGCTCTACTTGAACCACAGTGCTACTTCTGGCTTTTTTGGTTATTTAGTGGAAATAAGAGTCTTATGGATTTTCCTGCTTGGACTGGCTTCAAACCGTGAATCTCAGATCTCAGCCTCTGGAATAGCTAGAATTACAGCAGTAAGCCACTGACATTGGGGTTTATTTATCTTTTACTTTTTTTTTCCTGGTAATGAGGCTTGAATTCAGTGCGTAGGCTCTGTCCCTTAGCTTTTTCACTGGAGTTATACCACTTGAGCCACATCTCCACTTCAACTTTTTGCTGGTTAATTGGACATAACAGCATCACCGACTCTCCAGCTCTGTCTGGCTTCGAACTGCCATCCTCAGATTTCAGTCTCTTGAGTAGCTAGGATTATAGGCATGAGCCACTAGTGCCTGCCTCCCCTCCCCCGCAGTGCCTTAAGCTGTTGTTTGTCATGGCACCCTGATCTTAATTCTTTGACATGTTTACTCAAGGAAATATTGAGATGGGATTTTAAAGTGCAGTTAAGAGTAGTCATTCTCATGTTTGAAGTAGGTCTGCTAGGAGATGGACCTAATTTTAGAAAACCTCTATCTGGATAGAAATTAGTTAAATTCTTTGCTTTGTTGTAGAAGATTTGAGGAAGTTTCTGTTTGTTAATTAAAATTCTAAAGTTACAGGCTCCAGAAAAATTATAAAGACTACTACAGTGAGTTTTCATGCACAACCTATATTCACACTTTGATTTACTTCCCTACTGTCTTTCATGCACTGTGAATAAACAACTCCTCCTCTCTTCCCCTCCCCTGTTCCTCCTTCCCCTCTCCCTTATCCTCCCCCCTTTCTCTTTCTCCCTTTCTCCATCTTCCTTTGCCTCTATAGGCATTTAGTATTAACCCAGGGCCTTATGTAAGCACTCCACCTCTGAGTTAAAGTCCTGTAATTAATAAGTAGTCTTTTCCCACAAATTATTTTCATTTGTCAAAAGTTGTCAGTCATTGGGCTGGAGCTCAGGGCCTGGGTGAGCAATGTCCCCGAGCTTTTTTGCTCAAGGCTATTGTTCTACCACTTTGAGTCACTCTTTCACTTCTGGTTTCTGTGGATTAATTGGAGATAAGAGTCTCAAGGACTTTCCTGCCTGAGCTGACTTTTAACCTCTATCTTCAGATCTCAGCCTCCTGAGTATCTAGGATTCTACCAGAGCTCAGCCAGACATTCCCCTGAAGAGACTTCCTTTCCAAAAGATCCTGAGCTGTGCTCACAAAAACAAACAAAACTGGGTTGCAGTATTCTAACACAATAGCCCACTGTTATTATAAATTTTCCTACCTGGGCTGGCTTTGAACCACAATCTTCAGATCTCAGCTTCTTGAGTAGCTAATATTAGTGTTAGCTACCAGTACCTGCTTTAAAAGATTTTTTTTCCCCTTCTGGTTGTAGAGCCTGGGCACTATCCCTGAGCCTCTTTGTGCCAAAAGCTTGCACTCTCACACTTTAGCCTTAGAGCCACTTCCCACTTTTGTGTGGCCAATTGGAGATAAGAGTCCTGGCAACTTTTCTGCCTGGGGACTGACCTGCCCAGGCTGGCTTTGAACTGCAGTCCACACATCTCAGCATCCTGAATAGCTGTGATTATAAGTGTGAGCCACCTTAGCCTGGCTTTTTAAAAACATTTTGGAGGTAGAAAGTGTTCTTCAAATTCTTACTACTCTTCAAAAAAGTTATTGTGTCAGTAGTGTTTTTGTATGTGTTTTTTGTTTTTGTGCCCATACTAGATTTGATTAAGAATCTCAAAGAGCTTGTGGCTCTTGAATAGCTAAGATTACTGGCATGATTTACCAACACCCAGCCTTGGTATTGTTTCCTTAATTGCAGACAAAACTCTTACTATATCTGTAAATAGTAGTTTTGATGCTATTTTACAGTTTGTACAAGTAGCAATAAGCATACAAATGTGAAATATTTACTATTAATACTCCAGAAACTCATTTACAAAATCCTGCCCTACATATCCTTTTTTTTTTTTTTGTCAGTCATGGGGCTTGAACTCTGGGCTTGGGGGCTGTCCCTGAGCTCTTTAGCTCAAGGTGAGTGCTCTACCACTTGAGCCACAGAGCCACTTTCGGTTTTCTGGTGGTTTATTGGAGATAAGAGTTTCATGGACTTTCCTGCCCAGGCTGGCTTTGAACCGTGATCCTCAGATCTCAGTCTCCTCAGTAGCTAGGATTACAGGCGTGAGCCACAGGCACCTGGCCCTAATATCCTTTTATTGCAGTCTTCCCTAGTTCCTTCCTTGATCTTTGAAGCAGTCCTTAACTTTGAAACGTAGTTATAGTCTGTTTCCTTTGTTAGAATCTAAACTCCATAAGACCAAGGATATTTGAATATATTTCTGGTCAAGCATGAGAGATTTATCACCTGTATCTACTTTGTCTAACAGAAACCCTGTAACAATTACATTAAAAGAATCTAGGGGGTGTGTGTGTAAACAAATAGAGATAGAAAATGGGAGCTGTAGAAAGAGATTTCTTGACATTTTAGGAAGAAGCAAAGCTATAGCAGAGGCAGTATCTGATTTGGCAGTGCTAATTACCCTCCTACCTCCTGAGAGGATGCAGTGAAATGACTTGTGCCTTAGAATCCTCTGAGAGTTCAAGACTGGAGAACTAGGGGCTGGGATGGTGGCTCAGTGGTAGAGCGCTTGCCTTGCATGCTTGAGGCCCTGGGTTCGATTCCCCAGCACCATACAAGCAAAAAAAGAAAAAAGAAAAAAGCCGGAAGTGGTGCTGTGGCTAAAGTGGTGAAGAGCTAGCCTTGAGCTGAAGAGCTGAGGGACAGTGCCCAGGCCCAGAGTTCAGGTCCCACAACGGGACCCAAAAAAAAAAAAAAAACGACTAGAGAACTAGGTAGCTGCAGTTTAGATGTCAGAATAAGAGGCTTAACATATGGAAATACCACATCGTTTGTGTTTG